TGGAAGCAATTCCTAGCTGATTCATCTGGCACGATTTGATTCAGCAAAATCAGGATGTCCGGGACCAAACACAGACTAGGAGCAAGAAGCTACGAACGGGGCTCCCGGCATCGCTACGAGGTACCGGGAGTCACGAGACCGACGGGGTGCTTTGGCTCGTCCCATCCAAGGCTCGTGGATGTGATGTTCTGGGCACCGTCACCTCCTTCCTCCGTTCATTCGGCATCGCGAGCGATCTGTGACTCCATGGTATCTTAATTATACCCTCTGCTCCGTTCGTAGCGAACATTGTTACTACTAGTAAGGCACTTGTTACTAGTAGCGCGGCACTTGTTTCTACTAGCTTCGTGTTACTAGTAGTAAGGCCCTTTAAGAACAGTCTCACACCCAATGGGCTTCCAGTCTCCAGTCTCTGCGCGCAGTCTCCGGCGCGCAGTCTTCCGTCCAGCGGCCGCCAATGGTGCTTCCGCAAACGCCACCGCAGTGCACGGATCAGGGGCCTGACAACTGAGCTGTTTGGAATCGGGCGATGACAACTGAGCTTCTATCATGTCTTTTTTGATAAGTCCCTTCGACTTCAAACAAGGCAAGTCGGAAGTTGACAAAACACATGAGCTTGCGGCGCCGCCGTGACGGGGGCACCCCCGCAGCTGAGCACCATGACGATCCACGTGGACGGATGTGGATAGTCAAAAGGGATGACGATGTAGACTGTTGATGAATAAACCATAATAAACTCCCCAAAAAAAGAAGAGATTGTTCCATCCAAATGAAAGGGTTGAAAAGTGTGCTTTGTTTGTTTAATCAACAGTCTATTTACATTCGTTTGTGCTTTGTGTTTCCACACAGGTTTGGGACTCGTTTACTGGAAGAGGTTTTGAAAAGGCAAAAGGATGGCCCAGCAAAACCTGAAATCAAATGCTGTCTCATAGCCAAACCTACGCCATCTACCCTGAACTTCCAATTTCGCGCGAAAAGCAGCTTTTCAACACCATCTGCCAATGATTGCCAATGCGTGGGCCATCCATCGATACCGGCCTCCGTTCACCAGTCCCCTTCCGGTCACCTTCCGGTATGCTTGGACCACTGGAAGCCCTTTTTTCGCATGCCTTGACCGGTCCACCCCCTATCCCTGTCATGCAGTCCTCGCAAACCCTCGCACTCTGGCCTCGCCTCAAGGCACCCACCCATGGGCAATAGTTGAGACGTCGCAACGACTGGAGACACACGGCGTAATCCCTGGCCGACCGCGACCGACCGGTCGACCGCTCGGTGGCCGCGGACGGAAAGAGACGAACGCACCGAGACGCGGAGCAAGTCTCATCTGCGTGAAGAGCGAGATGAATCTGGTCTTTTCGCGCTTCTGCTGGCAAAATGACATGTCAAATCTTTAGACTCCGGAGTAGACTCCCTGCAAAGTGTTAAGTTCAAAGATGTTCAAACGCCATTTGGTTGCAAAATATATTCGGGTGTGCCATGGTTTGCCCTATATAGTGGCAAAACACCAGTACTTCTGAGCAGTATTCGGTGGTTGCAAGATTCGGCTCCGTTTTGGGCGTCAAAGACCAGCATTTTAGCCACTCAATTGGCTGTATTCAGGAGGCTTGTTGCTTAATCAAACATACAAAACTCTACAACATGTCTTACATGATTTTGTGAGAGCCTCTTCCTAAAGTGTTGTTTCACACAGGATGTTACATAAACATGTGTCGGCATGTTTCGATGCGAAAACGTGTGTTTAACTTATAAGTGTATGGTTTACTAAACACACACACAGTGTGTCACACACACAACTTTTCAGGCAATAATGATGGCAACAAGCTATTTCCAACAAAGGTGGAACTTTGGTCAATGACTTATTAATTAACTTGGAAATGGTTGTGTCAACGCAGTAACAATACAAACGTAGGTCTTCTATACAGTCTGTATGCACAAAGAACCATGTGCTGACAGGTCTCAGCAAGTCGACATGCATCCACGATCGAAAATACATTGGCGCTCTAAATGTATCCGATGCTTCGCAAGAAACATGTGAAAGAGCAAATGTGTCAATCATTTGAACAATTCTTATACGACTTCAGAATTCGGCCCCAGACCTTCGTTTTCTACTATAGTGACAAGAAGCTACTCGTAGCTCCTGATAGCTCCTGGCATTCAGAAGCTCCTAGTAACAAGTGGCCTTTCTACTAGAAGCAAGGATGCTACTCGTAGCTACAAGGGCCTTCTTGTTCCCTCCCGGTCGACCGAACCGCCTCACCGTGCCGCGTCGCAGCTCCGCTGCGCAGCGAAGGGCTTCGGTGAGGCCGCACAGGAGGTGGTCGTCGCGCCACTGCATCTGAGAGTGTATGGTGACCGTTTTGGGGGTGGAGACGTGGCACTGGAAGGGGAGAATGATGGAGGTAGATGGTTGGTCAAAGTTGAGTCAGACTCCACTTGGTCAGTCATGAGAAGAGTTGAGCCTCAAGGGCGGGCACTCTGCCTTGAGTTTGTGATTCACATCCCGTTTTGCATGCGGAAAGTTTGCCGCACGTTACTGGATGTCGAGCACCCAGCGTTGCGATGCGATCCGTTTCCTGCATGAAAGCACCAGTTTCTCCACTGTTCAATGCATCAGTAACAAACATTTCACAACATGGGAACCAGGGACCAGTTTCAAGAGGTCACGGTCACCACCACCACCACCACCACCACCACCACCACCACCACCATCCCAGTCCCAGTCCCAAAGAGTAAGGCGCAAACCGCTTGGATGTTCCCAGTTTCTGGTGGTGCGCCAGGGCCAGAGATCCTTTACATAGCAAGTGGGACTGGGACTGTGGACACATTCTTTGATTTCTCGGACTGGGACTGGGGTTTCCAAACAAGTCTTGGATTTGCTTGTTTGGAACCTGGAAACATAAAACATACGTCCCCAGGTTAGGAGATTTAGCCAGTTCGGAAAAAATGAAAAAATCACACACGGTGGTCAAGGGCTCTCGTGAATTTGTGACCCATCCATGGCCCATCCGTTGAATCCAGGTAGGTAGGTTTTCCAGTCAAACATATGATCGGATGATCCAGCCCCACCCGTCTTCGACGCCTGAGCACAACTGTTGAGCACAGCCGCGATGTGACTGACCTGACAAGCATTGACTTCGACCGCCGCATCGACCACCGTCCTCACCGTCCCCACCGCCCAAAGCGTCCGCGTCGTCATCCGCGCCCCTTTTGGTGCCGCATCGGCTCCGTCCGCGGTGCACCGCAGGCAGCGGCACTCAAAGTCCCAGCTAGTGCGGATGAAGCGTTTTCGCTCCGCGGTGGACATGCTCGAGTCGTCGATGTAGGAAAAGGTGAGCTCCTGCGGGGAGCGTGTTTTCTTTTTGGAACACCGCTCTTGTCTTGGAAGGTGTGTATTCAAATGTGTATATAACTGGAACGTCGTTTCAACTTTAAATTTCATACCACCACCTCTGGTGTCATTATATGTATATCAAAAGAACAAATGGTTGTTGTAGGTTTTGTATAAATAAAATAGCCTGATGTTACATGACAACCTTTGAATGGTCTTGCAAAGAACATCAAAGAACCATTATTTTACTGCATTAAGAGCTCCGGGCCCGAAGCACCCAACACATTCCGTTTGGGAACCGGGCCCGTTTTCCGTTTCGGTGTCGGGTCCGTTCGGATTCTGGTGAGGACTTTAGAATCAGGTCTAACCAGTTCAACCGAACTCCTTTAGGACTTTAGGACTATGGTCTATTTTGGGGAGTATTTTAGGGCTATGGGGACTCTTTTACGGACTCTTTGAATGGGAACTCATGGGAACTCTTTTATGTTCTTTATGTTCTTTGTGGGGAACTCGCTGAATCGTGGCTCCAGGACTCCAGGGGGGACATGGTGGGACTCTATATATATAGTCTAGAGAGGTGGGTCGGCTTTCGGCTCGGCGAACGAACAAAAGACGGGCGAACATTCGGCAGAGAAGGCGACTTCCTGGAACTCTGGCACTTTCGACTTGGCTATAAAACTCCTCCACCGCAGTGAAGGTCAAGAGATATTGTTTCAACGTGGGCGTGGCTCAATCATCTACAACAAGCGAAGGTCAAGCTACTTCGGATGCACTGGGCACGTGCCCCGCGGAGGACGTCGAGCAGCTCCAAACGCGCAAAACCACAAAACCACGCAGGGTCATGCAGCGTCGAGGGACCGCAATCGAGCAGCGTCGAGAGGTCACAGCAGTCTCTTCACCAGTTTGTCCCACTGGTGGAACTGAGTTGGCTCTTGTTTCAGATTTCACTGTCATCTGTCACACTCCCTGGATCTCCCTGGAATCGAAGTGGAACATGTCCAAGGACTTGGACGACTGGATGACCATGTTTTCTCTACAAACACTTGGTGAACTGCGCGTCCATGATTACTTCAAGGAGTGTCCGAAGACTGGACTACCGCTCTTCTCGTGCATCACAGTTGCCACGATGCACTGCATAAGTCTAGCACTCTTTGGTGATGTTTGAGCTATGCTATGCGGTTCCTCTACCCTGGCTGTCGTGTCAACGTGGTCCACAATTCAAACTACGTACATCAATCTACCCGGTGAACAACATCCAACATGATGAGGCCACACTTGAAGGTCTCCGATATGAGCCTCGTCAACTTCGATGTCACGCAGGGCATAAAAGCTGATGGCGCCATTCCTTGACCAACGAGAAGCTGGTGGGACGATAAGCTGGTACATCGCTAACATGGTGACCGAGGTGATCAATGGAGTTATGAGGTGATCAATGGAGTTATGAGGTGATCAATGGAGTTATGAGGTGACAGGTGACTCTTGATGAACAAAACTCTGAAAGGGATTCCCCCATCATATGAGTGACGTGCAAAACCTCTTCTGTGTCGAAGTGCGCACTCTTCCCAACGTTATTGTGTTTATTTCTGTGAACCTGATCGTTCCTGAGGGTTTGGACACACCTAACAACATGTACTAAAACATTATTTTTTTTGTGAACCTTATCGTTCCTGAAGGTTTCCTTCACTTTACTTACTTAGTCTTCACTGTAGTGATGCTGCCTTCATCGGAGGTCTTGGCAGTTGCTCATATAGACTCTTGATAAATCTAGACACTTCAACCTCTCCAGGCCTGAAGAGTTTTGTCAATCCATGTCTGTGGTGGTCTTGTGAATCAAGAGCTTATATTACAGCTGGATCAACCTCTTAAAGAATTTGTTGATGACTCTTGGGTTGCTCTTGGTGTTTGGGGGAACTGCTCGCACCACTTGGGATGGCTTGTGTTTGCACTTGATAGCGTGAAGAACCTGAAGTCCCTCGTAATTTTCGTTGAACTTTCGTGGGGCCGATGCACCTTCTCGGCGTGTGCAGCTTGCACCTTCTCGTGTGCAGCTCCATGTGCTCTTCTTTTCAACAGCTGTGAGAGTCTTCTCGTGCTCCATGTGCTTCTCGCGTGCTCTTCTTGTCACCTTCCTTGTGACTCCAGCGGTGCGAGGAAGGCTTCGTGGATTGGTCAAACCTGTGACACCTGGACGAGCCCCGATGACGTTTGTGTGCTGGTTTTAGAGACAAAATATCTTCACACCCAGGGTGGTAGGCACATAGTTTGGGTGTTCGGTCCAGACAAAATTACATGGACAATCCGCAATCTATACAGATTGCCAGTGTTGACTTCAGTCAAAAGCCAAGGAAGCTCAAAAGCACCTCAAGAGACCGTGTTCTCGAAGGAAGCAGTGTCAGTCTCCTTTCATTTATGCAAATGTCAATAGATGGATCAGTCTTTCAACTCTCTTTTTTGGAGAAACAATCTTGAACCAGCAAGCAATTGCATGGTCTCCACCAGAGCCTTCGCGCATAAGCAATTGCACTCTTTATGACTTGACACCCGGTAGGGGTCGGCTTCCACAACACATTTTACAAAAGACTTCGACCTCCTTGAACCCTACACTCTGACTCACTAATATGGAAGTGTAAACTGATCCCTTGGAAGACTGCTTTCCTCTAGAAACTTGGGGTGTTCTGGTGAGTCAGTCACAGTGTAATTCAAAAAGGATGGGGATGGGGCTCCAAGTAGTCATCATGGTGCATCAGGGCCAAGTACCCTTGGAGGCAGCCAGTATGCATCAATTTCCCAGTGGGTCTTCCCTTTTGTCCCCTGGACAATCTTTTGACAAGGAAAACACAAAGTCCTACTTGATATCTGGCTGGCCATCAGGAGGTTGCACACCTCCAACGGGCCCCCAACCCCAAGCAACGTGTTCCATCTCTGTACCAACGGCAATCTTCGCGCGATCTTTGCGCGCGCGCTTCGAGCGCGCTTCGAGCGCGAGGATCGTTCATCCAGGCGACTCGACTTGATATCGACAATTTGGGACGCAGCTGTGGTTCATCATGGACGCCAAGGGAACCAAACAGTGTCCATCTTCTTCCCCTGCAGGGAACAGGATCATGCGAGGGATCGCTGGAGGCCAAACAAAAACGAATCCCCCAACAAACAAACATGCAAACACTGTGTGGCGATCACGCTGCTCCCTCGGGAGAAGATTGGCCGATAAAAGATCTAGCACGGGGCTGTTCGACGTCAGCTTCCAGCTTTGGTTGGAAAACAAATAAAACCTTCACTCCACATCATCCCAAAACACAAGGAGCCTCGCTCGTAATGTTGGATCCTGATTAGTGATACGGTCCTCTATAATGCTAAATGTTCTAAAATAAATCTGAACACCATGTCATTTTTAAAGGGTCCTCCATTATTATTATGCTAAATAATGTTTGTGCCTATATTTTTTCTGAAATTTATTTAGGTTTCTAAAGACTTTGGCACCCTGTGAATACTACTAAGCCAATGGCTGGCGTGCTGAGAGTTTTCATGGTACTTGTAGCCACGCCACGCCACGCCGAATCTGGCGTGCTGAGAGTTTTCTGGCTCTTCTTCAAAACTTACAGTTTCCTAAGGCCATCAAATCCTTAGTCAATTCTTTATGTAAAGATTGCTCCAAAAACAAATGTTCCAAGGTAGTAGACCCCTTATCCTCAAAAAAAGACTCAACTTGGCAAAGTGTTTCCTTAGTCAAAATACATAAACAATGTAATACGACTTAGCCCATGACTCTCGCTTGCTGAGAGTGTTATCCTGGGTGAACCAAATTAGTTTCATCAACTTTGTTTACCTCGTACCTCGTATATTTTTTTAAAAATAGTATTGCCTCGCCTCCTTTCACTGCAAAAATTTCATTTCAGACTGCACTCCGGTGAAAGAGATCGGGGTGCAGGCTGCAGGCACCTGCAAAGATTCTGCCTGGCATGGGGTCTGTGGACTCCCTGTAGGTGGTGGAAACTACACCTCTCCAAGCCCCAACATGCTCGTCACAAAATCGGACCCATTTAAAAAAAAAATATATATATATAAGTAGATTTCATTTTAATCGAGGATGATTTCATTTTAATCGGGGGGTAGTTGAACTTGTTTGGATGTCATTAAAGTTTATTGAAGCTGCTGAGAAATGCTGTTTTCCTGTGATGGTTTGGGTATCCGTTCAACCGCAAACGCTGCCAATCTTTTTTCCGCTGACATGCCTTGCTCTGGCCACGTGTGAGTTCACGTGCACTGCTGAACACTGCAATCCCTTGGCCATTGAATGGTGTTCAATCCCTACTAGCCACAGGTTGCTGGAAAGGTGTCATAAAGGTAATCCCTACTAGCCACAGGTTGCTGGAAAGGTGTCATAAAGGTGTCTTCATCTAAGGGGTGCATCCTAAGATGGTTCTTTCACCATTCATCTAAGGCCACCCCCGCAGTGGAGCGTCACAGCATCGATCCCACTCACACCAATCTCACCAACTCATTTGCTCCCAAAGATAAGGATTCTCTCAGAAAATAGAGCGGTTTTCCTCGGATATCATGAAAACAAGTTAGTATAGAATAAGTACACTTCTTGCACTTTGCCTTCGTCCCTTGCTATGCCTGGCTGCGACCGAACTGCTGGGCGTCAGCTCCTGAGACACTGACTGGAGAGGGGAGGGTTCACAGGAGGTAAATCAAATATAAAACCATCCCAACTCAACTGACTCCTTTTCAGCTTTCAAGAAGGCGACGCGCCACACTCGAACCAGTTCCGGGCTTCGATCAAGCACCTGGTAGCGCTGAGAAGTCACACATATGATGGTAGGATATGGTAGGGTGGTGATACACTCGCACCTCCTTGGTGAATACACTCGCGATCGTTGAAAACTTCATATTTCCACACCCTGGGGTGTATTGGAACTGCGGAATATTCGGGGTCGCTTTGATCACGAAGAAGTCGTTGTCCCCACCTAGGAGTGGGGCTGATTCTGGTTGACAAGAAATCTTGGTTGTTTGAGTCTGAGTGTATCATTTGTTTCTGATTCATTCTACAAAGTGTTTGGGTTGTCGAGGGGCGATCGGTTGCTGAATCTGGGCGAGCACACGTATGGCCGTTCAGCCCGCAATCCACCACGCCTTCCTCTTCCATTCCATGGAGTAATGACTGGATAGTGGTAGGTTCGCTATCCTGACATGCCTTGCTCGTTTCGCTCTGGATTTCCAAAATAACCTTGTTTTGGTCTGATGTCCATTTGCAAGGAATGGTATAGGCAAAGGCGGCATCCCCTGCAAGCAGGCACCAACTGACATGTGAAGCATGCCTTGGTAGAGAGTTGCAATGGACCACACATGACATACTAATATACCAACTTTGGCATGTTTCTCGCTTTTTGGACTGCACGTGTTGCCCTGGGCCACACAGAGTATTCCGTTGCGACCCCTTTGGCTGACTGCTAGAATCCCTATTCAGGGCCACTTCATGCCTACCACATTCGTCCCAAACCCTCCAAAACATCGTTTGAGGGCATGAATGGACAGACAGTCAGTGGGCTTCGCCCCACAAAAAGATCGATGGCCAAGGCCATTGATTGCAAATCACTTTGATGCCTTCTTCTTGGGCACCATGCGTCGACGGCTGAGCTCCGAGTGGCTGAGATTCTTCATGAATTTTGTGCGGGCTGGGTGAGTCTGCCACCTAGGCCCCGGACATGTGTTCTCTTCCAAGATTCCCCTTAATCTGACTGGGACCCATAAAAGATACCTGATATTATATGATATTTATAGACTATACAGTAGACTATATAATATAGTATATGAAACAGAAACCACCCAAAGGTCTCTTAATTGCATCTAGTCCACGATGCCCGAGCTTGTTTCAACACCTCCTTGGCAGACATATCCGGGTGAGCCTTTTGCAACCTCTTTTGCTCCTCGTGAACCACTTGCCAATACATTTGGCGAAGGGTGGCTGCTCCAGATTCAGGAGGTTTCTCCTGCTTCGCCTTTTTGGGACGTTCAGCGAAATCCCCAAAAATGCGAGTCTCTTGGCTTTCGGCTGATTCCAGCTCTTCATCGCTATCCAGCTCTTCAGGGTCCAAGACCTACCCAGAACATCCCAGAACCCATTGTTTCAGAGTAGGAAAGGGTCCGGGTTTACAACTAATACCAATCTATGAATTGCATTGACTCAGACTCTTGTCTCACTGCTCAGGCCTCCTCGTCGGATTTGGCATCCTTCTTTTTGGCATCCGCCGCGGACTGAGGTATGTGCGGATGCTATATAACGTGTGTTAGGGGACACATGAAGACAAGAAGACAAAGCTGAATGACAAACAAACACATGTAAGAGCTACAGGCCTTGGCCTTGGCGTTCTTCGCGTGTTTTTTTGCAGCTGCTTTTGCCTTCTGCTTTGCTGCTGCTGCTGTGCGTGTCCGCTTCCTTGGTTGTCATGGTGGAATCTCACGTTCCTCTTCATCCTCCCCTAGTTCCTCTACCTCCTCCGGTTCCTCTTGTTCAGTCTCTTGTTCCTCTGGTTCCTTTGCTGATCGTTTTGCAGGCTTCCTTTTTGCTTGACCTTTGGCCTTTGCTGTTGCTTTGGCCTTTGCTGTTGCTTTGGCCTTACCTGGCTTGCCTGGCTTCTCTGGTGCAGGGTCTGCCAACCTTGCTTTGAGTGCCTGCGCAATTTTCTTGCCTCGTTCGCCGTTGAGACTGTTCTTGTTGCGTTCTTGTTTCCTTTCTTGTTTCCTTTCAGTGGCAAGGCCTGCCATGGCCTGACTCACCTCACCTCTCAAAGCAGCCTGCTCCTCACTACTCATTTTTGTTTTGTTGCTTTGCCCGCTGGGATGTGAGGTTTGCATTGGCAAGTGTTGTGCACTGGCTGCACGACGAGGACCTTTGGGCACGGACTCATTGTCGACTGGGCTTCGATTCACAACCTCACAGACACCCCGCAAAAAAGACTCTCTCAGACCCACATGGAAAGTTTAAGAAAAACAGGCCAAAAGACATTCAATATTCATACTACATAATATACAGTATACTTTCACGCTTGTGTGATGGAGGTCTGAGACACAAACGATTTGTCCTCTCGGGGTCTCAGCCGCCCCAGGGCTGTCCATCAGCATTCCCTCTAAGTCCTTCCACACGCACAAACACACACACACACACAACAGCGACCAAGTCTTAAACCCTGTGGCTAGAAGATGAAAGAGTTGACTGACCAGTCCTGGTTGAGCCCATGCCTAGCTAACACTTCGCTGAGGCTTTGCATCGCTTGACTGTGAACTGACCTAATCCCTTGCCACTCCTGTGACTTGAGCCCGCAGACCGCCCTATAAGTAACAATTGTCAAAAAGGAAGCCTACATCTAGTGACATTCTTTGTGCAACGTCCAATTTGGTGGCTACTTTCCAAAAGTTTAACTCTCCCAACCTGCCGATTCTCGCACCATCTTCTGGTAGCGCTCTGCTTTGAGCCACCGCGAGGAACCATGAGCGAGCTGGAATTCATCAACTCCGATCGTCATCTCCTGGTGCGCAACCTGGGTTGCGAGGTGGAGTGTGTGAACTCTTTAGTTTTGAGGAGTGAGGCAATCGGGATAAGAAGTGAGATGATATGAGGGAAGGAGAGTTTAGTGGGGATGAAATAGACGGGTGATGTGAAAGGTGATCCACATAAAACACTAAAGGGTGGTGAGAGGAGATGAGGTGGGTAGTCTTGACTGAAGGCATATGGCCAGGTAGGAGTACCGACAAGTAGGTTGATGGTATTTTGAGCTTGGCCCCTACCCTCTTCAAAACACTTAAAAGATCTGAAAGTTGAGTCATCCCTATTGACATTGTGCCATAAACAATTTGTAAAGAGGGCTTCGAGTCACACAAATCCCAGCACCTCCAGTTAGAGTCTGAAGAACTCAGCTACAGGAAGTACAGTGAACTAAGACCGGTGAAAGCTTGCCTTCGGGAAGATTTGAGGTGAGAAACCAGCCACATCTTGAACGGCTGGTTCTCCACCATCTCATGTTTTGATCCATCTCGCCTTTGAGCAGCCGTGATCATAAGTGTAGACCCAGGCTGTCGTCCTGGAA